GTCGCACTGTCCAGTAATTCCAACACTGGCAGGATGAGCTGGAGTCACTTTTAGGTAAAACGAAAAATATTATTGGTCTATTTATGGAATTCACTAAGTTGCTGCAGCTTTCTGCGAGAATAAGGACGTTGTGAAATATGTGCACCGCACGGAAGAGATTTCAGGCGATTGCGTGAATGGACTACTAGATATGCATCCTGGTCTTTCTCAAGCGGAGAAACGGGAAGAGAGTCGGATTCTGGAGACGATGTCAAAGTTTGACTGCACTGCATTGACCTGCACTGTTTGAGCAGGGACTACGAGGGCAATTGCAAATTCTGGTTCGGGCCAATAATTATAAAACTCTTCATGACGCTTCAGATTCACGCTCTGAGATGTACGACGCTGGGGCGCGGATCAGCACGACGCTGGGGCGCGGATCTCGAAAAAACAATTTCAGGTCACCATAAAGGCAAGAGTGGGGGTAGTCAGAGCCAAAGCCGACGTTCTACTGGAGGGTTTCTACGGCTCGTCAGTCCATAGGGAATTGCTTTGGTTGTGGAGAACTAGGTCATCTCGTAAAAGATTGCAGAAATTCGCAAACTGGACGAAAATCATCGAAATGATAAAAAAAATCGAATGAATTTCCTAAACTCCTATCTCTATAAAATGACCGAGAAAGTGACGGTAAAAGCAAAGAAAATAATACCGGAAAACTAAACTCACCGTAACTCGGCCAAAGTCGGCATAAACAATTGTCCCTAATTAAACATTATTAAGAAACCCGAAAGAAATCTGTATAAGGCGCGAGGTAGCGCAATATCCGTATCGAAAAGGTACTCGACTCATTTTTTTTATTAGAGGTACTCGAATTCCTATCAAAATAAACTGGAATTCGCTTTAACAAAAGCTTACGCAGTCAACAGTCGCAATGTTGAATACGCCGAATATGGCACTCTACACTCAGCGGTAACTGACCCTGAGTTACTACTGGCCAGAACGGCACGAAATTCCTACATTCAACCTGACGAAGATAACACAAATGCTGTAACACTTTTAAATAATTAATTGATTCGCACGATAACCGCGTAGTACAATCTCTAGACCAATAGGTAGGGTAAGGGGGGGTTAGTACCGCTCAGCGGGTAATTCCGCTCACCCTGGGTTTGGACGATTGGCTGAGAAAAAATTTTTTTTTCCCCTTAATAGAACAATTACATGAGAAAAACTTATTTTCATGTGAATTTGAATTTTTCATCGTTGAAAGTGAGTGAAAAATCATACATTTGATTCCCGATGAGATCGATGTAAGAATTTGCCCCCAAAATTTAAGGTTTTTTGTCAGTTTATATTTTTGAATAACACGAAAAGTAATTGAATATGAGTTCGTCATACATTTATGAATCGTTTGACATTTAGTTGATAGTGAAAAATACCTCGGTTAATTAATTATTAATATTTATTGAACTCTTCGCGTTTGTTGGTAATTCCGCTCACGAAATTCTGCTAATACCGATCACTCTGTGGGTAATACCGGTCACCGAGTGACAGTTGAGGTGCATGAAGCAGTAGGCGCTCGACAAACAATCAAGTAAGTTTATTAAAATTGATTGTTATTGAATGATAAGATAAAATGGATAGAATAAAAAATGAACATAGAATGAACATATTGTGTACTCATATTCTCCAAAACTATTCACTGGTACGAAAATATTCGTAATACAGTCCAATCAAGATGTGGCACGACAATAGAGCCATCCAGTGAAAATTCAATCTGTGATGTATGCCAGGAGTTCGGGAAGGACGAAGTCTGGTACCGCTGTCGTGAATGTGGACAGTGGTTTCATGCAGCATGCGTTACGTCAACGTCAGCTGAGTCATACGTCTGTGATTCATGTGAAAATTAATTTATTATGTTTATATAGTTCATTTTTTATTATTCTATGGTTCGTTGAGAGTTTACCAAATGTTTAATAGTGATGTATCCAATCTAGTGTGTTCGTTAACATTTGTTTAACCAAAATAAAATCCCAAACATTCTTGTTTTGACTTAAAATAATTATTATACATTTATGAAAATGTTCAAATAAAGTATGTCTTTACGTTCAATTCAATATTAATATTTACAAGACGTGAGGAAAGCCTGTTAGAATGGAATTATAATCTTGCGGGCGGTGTAACCTTCACCTCGAGCGGTATTACAAGCTCCCGAGCGGTACTACAAGCACGCCGAGCGGTATAACCCGCATTGTGAGGCAGTACCGATTAATCGTTGATTTTTATTAAATTGGTTATTTCAAATTTTGGGGCTTTTCAAAAAAAAATCCCTTTTCACGGTTTCTTCAGGCGAATTCGAAGAATCTATTCCAAAAATTTATTTCTTTTTATTTATTAGGGAAACTAGAAAAATTTCTCATTTTCCTTAGGTGATCGGTACTACCCCCCCCCCCCTTCCCTACCGCGTCCTTCAACGCACAATTATCCCACAGAGTGATGGCTACAAAACGAATAACGTAACCAGCATAAAAGGAAAATTCAGGGGATTCAGGGGTTGCAAACTCAAAGACTTAGGCGTATTCGTAAGCAAATGAAACTGGAAAGGCGAAACTGAGGCATCAGACACTGACACTATCACCGGCGTAATTTCCAACAAATTAATACGTAATAACTCTAAACGGTACATAAACCGTAAGCCTGCCAGCTAAATAATACAATAATCGCGGGCACAATACGACAGAGAGACGAAGTAAGTACTCGAAATGAGATAAGGCGCATAAGCGTAAGCATCAGACTAGATGCAACGGTAGGCTCACTGTGAGCATTGGCCAGAGGCAAGGTATGAGTATGAAAGGCAGCCATCGACTACAACTGGCAGCGAACTGCAATGACAGACGACTGAACGACTGTCCTGAACTGATAAAAGTTCGTAAACCACGGAAAGTCCATTAATATAATGGAAAACCTTATAATTCGGTACACATTCGACTGGAGACCAAAGGGTAGGTAGCTCGAGGTGATCGAGTTGGCTATAAACGCAAAAGAGAGTCTGTACGCAAAAAACTCCCGAATTTATAGGTTTCCAAAAGGTGTGAAATGGAAAGAGAGCGAAACTCTACACGGAGAAAAAAATACATCGTAATTTTGTGAGAATCCTTCCAAAAATTAGTGTGCTGTTCACCAACGCCTGGACATAACAGGGAGTCATCAGAGAATTCGCATGTGGCACACTAATTTTTACGGGAATCCCCCGAAAGTGGCCGGAGTCCCACCAAAAATTAGGGTGCCACTTATGAATTTTTCGACGACCCCATGTTATGTCCCGGCGTTGGGGGACAGCACACTAATTTTTGGGAGATTTTTTTCTCAGCGTAATGCTTAAGATAGAACGAGAACACTATACTCAACACGTGATGACACGTAGGAGGAGATCACAGGTTAAGACATAGCAACTGTCCAGCGCTAGGCACAGAGAAAATAAATAATAATAATAATAATGAGCACGCAAACTCGACGACACGTAGCGCTTGATTCACGACAAATCTAAAACTAAATGGAATATCAAGGCGGTTATTCGGCCAAGTAAATTCTATTAACTATGATATTCTCTCTGAAGCCGTATTCTCAAGGATTCTTGGGATAGAGATGCATAAAGCGATCACTACCCGAAAGCGTAAAAGACAATTCAATCATCAAGACGAAACAAAAAAACATATTATTCCTAAACGTAAATGGCCTTGGCAATTCACACGAGTGCAACGGCCATTATTGGTCGTATGACCTTTCACCGCAACCCAAAAACTAACCTATCTCTTCTCAATAAATCCACTATAATTGAGCGACAGTATTATGTCACATATCTTCAGAGTATCAAAAGAACGGAGAATCAAACTATAATCGCGCAGCTTGTATATGTAATATTTCAGCCTATGCCGCGAGAATCGTCTCGGTCCCGTATAGTTAAATATGATTAAATTCCCAACGCGCGAACGACGACGAATGAAATCCTAACAAAAATCCTCTTGTAACAAACCAAAAATAATTAAAGTTTATAACAACATGAAATTAACGGACATTAACTGTACGCGATCTGATTAACCTTAAATCTACAGACGCTAAATTAATCCATTGACAATTATCTTGTATTGATTCTAGTAATAATTTATTAAAACTACGGCTCTAGATCTTTGACTAGCTCACGACTATTTGAAGTTCTCGGTTGTCTCTGACTAGCGCCCTGAAGTAGCCCATTGGACTAGATGATAACAAATTCAGCATAGAATTTCGAGCATGAAACTATTCCTAGGTTTCTCACCAAGCCTGGTTTGTCGTGTTTTTTAACATCTTGGACGATAGTCATTTAAAATTTTTGGACAAAGCAGCCCTGAATTTGAAGCAAGGGTCGAACTTTCAGTCCAATACAAAATTTCACCTGGGATTCCAGAACAATTGTGAGAATCTCCCATAGATGTATTTTTCTCACTAACTAGATATTAAGTAGACATTACAAAAAGAAATGTAATCCAACCGTAGTAAATTCATTGAGATTGTATTCGGCTTTTGAGTCTCGCGAAGTTATTTATTTAAAAAAAATCAATATTGCTATCGTAATAACCAACTTTTCGACCTACGTGCGAATTTAAATACTTTTCTTACGAAAAGGACGCACGTAGGTCGAAACTAGTGTAGGAAAGTGACTAATTATATCGCATTATATAGTTCACTATAAGACATACCTTGGTAATTCACTCTGTTATCATTTAATTTGCAGTCCACTATGTAATACGGTAAAATTTGTAATTGTCACCAATTAATAGACCCTGAAGCGTACCCATGCGTGAGCGTCTTGACTTTTTCGGCAGCAACATTTTGGGTTTCAGAATCAATAATTGCATAAGAAGGCAACGCCGAATACGGTCTTAATCAATGAGTAGAGGATTATGATTTTGTTGAATTTATGAATTTCATATTATTTAGTCTTCTTAGCATTCCATCATTCAACTAAATAGCTGCTTTGTTTACAGGAAATCGATGGTCTTGCATTTTTGCTACTGAACCTGCCTTCATTGACTCAACACATGAAATTACGAACGAGTCTAGCAATGAAACTCTGCAGACATGTTGAACAAGTTAAAGTGACATTTTTCTTGAGACACATAAGTGAATTTGAAAAAGAATAAAGAAACTTGACGATGATATAAAAGAACCAATTAATAAAAAATTTTCATCGACACTTTATGAGATGCTCATCAGAAAAGCGTTTTTAATGTCATCAATCGCGTAAAGAAGTAATAAACAAAATTCCGTAAAAACAAAGTCTGTAACAACGCTTCAAAATTTTTTTCTCAAATAGAATAAAATGAAACAATAAACTGTAACAAAAAAAGCAAGAAGAACATATTTCCGATCCATGTTCATATAATATAAGCAGCAATCAATAAATTGATCGATTAGAAAAAAATTAACTGTAGTATATGATCAGTATTGCCTTTAAAATCTTAATTATTATTGTATAACAACGGATTGTAATCTCGCTGTACCAGAAAGTTTGTGACTCAACTAAACACGAGTTAACAAATACAATATTTAATGGCACATTAACGTAGCTACGTATCAGAGATCATTCGGTGACAGTCAGTCTCGTGTCGCTGGTCAATTGATCATGTACTGAAGATGAATTTTAGAGTTCACGTGAGTGACTTCAGGACCGTAAAGCAGTTACTCATTGCAACCACGAATATACCGGCCGCCTCGTTCTCGGTTAGTTAGAATGAACTACTCTTGGCATCTGAAATAGTTTTAAAAGAATGATATTAGTCAATACTCAAGAGATTCTTGTGCATTCACTCTGACATTTCTTTCTTTTCAATTTCCTCAATCAATTATTCCTACAAAGAAGACTAGTGGATAATTACATTATTTGTAAATGAGTATAGTTATTGTTACTAATAAATGAATAATGTACTTTCAAATGGTTTCCCTCTTTTTTCCATTCTAATTTTTACCATTGTCATCTTTTCTTTTTTCGTATTATAGTGGTATTCAACATTGAAACATTATCAAAATTTTAGCGCATTATATTGCACTTTTGAATGATCTCATACTGAAAAAAACAAAAGCAAGTATTTTAGTAATAATGCAGCGCTAAGAAAAAGTTTTGTTTGGTTCTTATTGAAAAGTCAGAACTTTTTAACGGCAGTGGCTATTCACACTCCTACGTGAATCCCTCCGGTGCCCTCCGTACACTCCATGGGGTTTTTTGAGCGATTCACGCAGGCACGGAGTAGTTTATTGGGCATTGCATGTAGATAGTGTAGTGAGTGAAATCCACAGGGAACCAGGTAATGTAGTTTGAGTGATTCACCCAAGATTGGGTGGGGTGATTCACGCAGAACATTTTCTGTTCGAAGTGATACACGCAAGAGTGAGTGGAGTGGTTCACACAGAATATTTTCTGTTAAGAGTGATTCACGCAAGAGTGAGTGGAGTGGTTCACGCAGAAGATTTTTTGTTCAGAGTGATTCACGCAAGAGTGGAGTGGTTCACGCAGCACTTGCATAGATGCAAGTGATTCACGCGGAATATTTTTTGTTCGAAGTGATTTAGGCCAGAGGGAGTAGAGTGGTTCACGCAGAATATTTTCTGTTCGGAGTGCTTCACGCTAAACCCGCAGCATTCGCGCAAATGGTTGCAACGGAACGTAGTAGTTCAGGACCCAGTTACATAGTCTTGTTATTGAGGGGGGGGGGAGGCGGTAATGTTAGTCATACAGATGACCCTAGTCATTCACGCAAGTGTGAGTGAAGTTATTCACGCAATACTCATATAAATAGGAGGGATTCACGCAGAATGTTCTCCATTCTGCCTGACTCTCGTAGAATGTTTTCTAATCGGAGTGATTTGCGCAGAATATTTTCTGTTAGGAGTGATTCACGCAGAATATTTCCTGTTTGGAATAGTGGAAGTTAGTGGTTGGATAAGAAAGGAGTGATAATCACAAGGGGGTGGGTAAACACTCATGGAATCTGGAAATCTCTTTCCCTTCCACTATATATTTTTTTATGACCGCGGAATGGGATTTCATGAATTTCCACGAAATTTATTAATTCCTTCTGAAAATTTCATGATATTTCACAGAATTTCTTAAGATTCCAAGATTTCAATTTTATTTGTATACCAGATTTATTGAGTGATGATCACCTCGCAACACTTCTTTCTTATCTGATTATTAACTTCATGCAGTATTAATTTCATTAAAAATTAATTGAATAAATTTTTTCATTAAATTGTCACGTTTTGGAAGACATATGTAAGTGCAACAGTGCAAGGGGAAAACTCCATCCCGATTTCCGTTGATGGTTGCCCTCTTCAAGCGAAATTATCAATTGAAAAAGAATGTAATACAAGTCTCACTTCTGAGGCCGAATCTCGAGAGCACTCAAGTGTAATTTGAAATTTTTCCCAGAAAGTACTACGAACAGAGGAACTATAATACTAGTTCACTAGGGTTATCTGTGTGACTAACGTTACTTCACCCCCCCCCCCCCTAACAGTACTATCTTACTGGGTCCTGAACTACTACGTTCCGTTGCATCCATTTGCGCGAAAACTGCGAATTGTGCGTGAGTCACTCTGAAGAGAAAATATTCTGCGTGAACCACTCCACTCTTGCGTGAATCACTTCAAACAGAAAATATTCTACGTGCACCACTCCACTCACTCTTGCGTGAATTACTCCGAATAGAAAAAATTCTGCGTGAATCAGGCAGAATACAGAACATTCTGAGTAAATCACTCCCATTTATATGGAACATTCCATGTCAACTCGGCCACCCCGGATTTTTTTTGTCTGGAAAAAATCATTTGATAGTTGCATTTTGAACTACTATATATAGATGGTATTCGTGCCAAATTTCATTGCCCTATCATTTTTTGTTCCGAGATAATGATGACAAAATTTGGAATTTTCAAATAATTTCACATAATTGTTAAACGGCGCATCCGATTCGAACGAATAAAAAAAGAAAAAAAATTTTTTCCCGTACTTTGAGAGAAAAAATACTCTCGTGCAGTGAATTATCTTCTACACTGATTTTTTCAAGGAATTTGTACGTTTTTATTTTTTTTGTCTCTAGGGCCTTCAGATATTCGATCGGAATTTTTTTTTTGATAGAAGACGTCCATATATGATGTGAAAATAATACGCCATCATGGAAGAAATGACAATTGTGTCGGAAAATTTTTTTTTCTGAAATTTTTCGCCTTATAGGGGAGCTGCCGTGTTTTTACCAAGAAATTGATGCTCCAATCAATACTTTTGGTTAATATATCATAGAAAAGAAATATAGTAACGTAGAAGAGAGAAACGGTGCTCCGAAGAAAATTTTTTTTACTGAAATTTTTACGTTTTTTCAACAGTTATAATATTCAACAATAACAATCACTCTGGAATAACTTTTTTCAATTGTTCGAAGGGTTACGCAATGGGCAATATCAGAAATGATCTTTTCAGCACTATCAAGTGGAAAAAAATTGGAAAAATTGATTGAAAATGATACTTCCAATGGCAAAATATCTACGACATGAAACAATAGATACAAAATAAAAATAAAGTAACATCAGAGTGAGGAAATCTAATTCTAATTCTAATCATAATGTAGTCAACAGTGGATCAGGCAATGAATTCACGTGTTAGAGAAATTAAGCTCAAATTCCAGTCAGTGGCATGAGACGATTTTTTTTATCGTTATTTTACATTGTTTCGACCCGGTTAGGGTATACTGCGATGATGATCAAGACTTTAAATGGTTAGATTGCACCATTCTACCCGGCCGGGATTTGAACTCGGAACCTTTCACATGTGAGGCAACGAATTAACCCACTGCACCAAGCCACCGGGGCAATCAGAAGATTGTATCACTCAGACTTGAAACCAAAGAAGGATAAAAAAATGATCTATCTAATAAATCTATTTAACGTTATTAGGCTGTAAGCTATTAGTTGTGAGAGATGTCTCAAATGCTTCATCAACGTTTCATTACCATGCTTATTGTTGACTGTGTTAATTAAATGCATCATTTATCAGTAAAATTTGATCATTAAGCTAAATTAATAAGCCATCATTGTGTATACTCATCCCCGTTTTCTCATCTTCATTTCTGAATTGAGGTAAGAAATTTCTGACATTCATGATAGAGATATTTCCAGGCGATTTGTGGAATCAATTTGTTTGTATTCAGTAGGATGCCCCATAGTAATAGATGTGTAAATCCGATGCGAGGCCCAGGTGAAAAAGGCCACTATGGAACCAATTTATGTCCGATTTCACGGGAAATACACTTGAAGTTCCCCTTCCTACCATCGACTGCAAAAATTTGCGGCAAATGCCGAATAAAAGTGCCAACGCATATCGTACCATCGTTCCCTCCCACTTGCATTCTGAAGAATCAAAATCTTCAAAAAGATATCTCTGCCCCAGAGGTATCAATGACTGAAGCAGAATTTGATGATTCCACCTCGCATATCATTGACTGTTCATTGAGATGAGGCCGATCTTTTTATCTTGATGATACAAGCATTTCAAGTCACGATGGATCACATGATTCAGGTGTATTCTTCGATTTAAGTATGGATGAGGATTCAAATAGTGACCACCAACGAAACGGTATCGTGCTCCCAGAGAACTGGAATTAGAGGCAATGTTGAATGATTTGAAGGAAAAGTTCAACGATTTGGACTCGTAGAGTGAGCGCCTGCAAATTCTAACGATTCTTCCTCGATCATGGAGTGCCCGAAAAATAGCGCTCGAATTTGGTGTTTCGAGATACATGGCGGAGAAGGCAAAAAACTTGAGAGAATTGAAAGGAGTATTTGCTTCACCAACTGCAAGGACTGGTTATCCATTACCAGCCGAAACTGTTCAAAGGGTGTGAAGTTTTTATCTAGAAAATAGTCGGGTTATGCCCGGGATGAAAGATAAGATATCGATTAAAATTAATGGGGAGAAAAGAGTAGAACAGAAGCAAATGGTACTCGAAAATTTGAAAGATCTCCATCGAGAGTACAAAGCCACTCACTCAGAGGCTGCAGTTGGTTTCAGTAAGTTGGCAGAATTAAGGCCTGAGCAATGTATATTGGCGGGAGCGAGTGGCACACACGTGGTATGTGTTTGCACGTACCACCAAAATTGTAAACTGATGTTAGATGCTATCAATCTCCGGGTTCTAACGACGGATTCACTATGCCCAATGACAGATTACAAAGATTGTCTCAGCAGAATCATGTGTCAAAATCCCACGCCAGCCTGTCATTTGGATGAATGTAAGAATTGCCCTGGACTTGACCAATTGTCATGTGAGCTAAAACGAGTCCTCTCCAAAGCTGCGATTGAAAATGTCGAATTCCGAGTTTGGCAAAGTACTGACAGGTGCACCTTGCAAACACAGATGCTTGCGGTGAACGAATTCGTTGATGTACTTGCTGAACGGTTGAAAGTACTAAAGCCCCGCCACTTCATCGCTCAATAGAGCAATCAATTTTAGTGAAGCAACGAAAAGAACATTTGGATAAAGGGGAAGTGTTTGTCTACGATCATTTTGCTGAGAATTATTGTTTTGTTGCTCAAGATGCTGCTCAATCTTTTCATTACAATAATGATCAGTGTACAGTCCACCCGGTGGTGTATTACTACCGTGAAGATGATGATATCCAACAACAGAGTTTAGTTATCTTATCAGACAGTCTACTCCACGATACTGCTGCTGTTTATCTGGTACAGAAAATTGTGATCGAGCATGTAAAGAACAATTGTGGTGATGTTCTAAAAATGATTTATGTAACAGACGGCGTTGCTCAGCATTAAAAAAATTGTTGCCAAATGGCGAATCTCTTGAATCATAAGTCTGAGTTCGGCATCGACGCAGAAG